AAAGAAAGTGGTCAAAATTACTGACATCATAGGTGTTTACAATTTGGATGTTATTGATGACTCCCATCTTATACATTGACTTCAGCATTTTAGTACCGTACGGAAGTGACGTTAACTTAGTAAAAGTCCTTTCAAAAATTGAACTTAATATCAAAATAGCATTTCTTCGAAAGGTCACCATTTCATTGTTCAGTATACAATTATATATCCAAACTAACTGTCAGGAAGAATTATGTCTATATCTCACATCAATCATACCAGTATAACCACATTAATAGGTTAATGTATTCTTTACCAGTATTCATGATTGAAAAAAATATATATATGCATTATCACATAAATTGGTTAAGGATTTTATTTTAATTCATCATGTTTCCTTCAGAGCAAACCAATCGAAAGAAAAAACAGCAACATCATAAATTATTGGCTTCGATCTTCTGCTGCTTTACTGGTGCTTTTACGCGACGTCCACGTAACGAATTTGGTGAAGACAGACCTCCGCCATCTAATGTAAGTATCGGTAGTATAATGAATAGGCTAACGAAAATTATTAGTCTTACACTGAACTGGATATCTGTAATAAGTTAAATAAATCAATCAACCGATAATAGTAATACACAAGTAGCAATCAAAACATTTGTAAAACCCTTCGAAGTTAATGATTCATAGCCCCATATAGATAAAATTACACCACATAATCTTATTGAATAATAGGCCAACATTACTCCCAATCTTAAAACTATTTACCATATTAATGTTAATAAAATGCAATTACTGTTCCACTTTACTAATTAAGAATGTGCTATACTTAAGAATCCTCTTGGCTAAATTATCGATGAAAATGATGAGTGATTTATTGCCAATATAACAGCTGAATTCTACGATTAAAATGGCCTGCAAATTTCACTTCCAATGTTATTCTACGTTATGCACTTGATGAAGGCATCATATAGTCTCATAGCACAGTAACTGCATTTAATCTTCCAGTCAGCGCTATTTGCAAATGCTTTCAATGATGCCCCAAAGCACTTAGTTCAATCAAAGTTTATGACTTCAATGCCACATCTGTGATTGATAATATGATATCTGGAGATAATGAAAGAAATTAAAGTTATTTCATGCAGCGAAATCAGTTCCGATAGGGTAGAATAGGGCTCCCTAATTTGAGGATCAAGATATTTGTACAATAAAACTACTTAAAATATCGCTCGGCTGGAAGCATTTTATCGAAACTTTTTGTATACTACTAATGTAGTCTTTCTCGTAACAAGGACAAAATAATATTAAGAACTAAAACATGCCCAATCTAAGGCAATACAGTATTCATACAGGCACCAAAACAAGGGTTGTTTCAATACGTTGCATTGGCATATGAATATCTTAAAGAATAAATGATAAGAAAGATGCCTTACGATTTCTAAATTTGACGCTATTTAAAAAATTACTCTTAGTTGTTCCCGCATTATAAGATAAAGTGAAAGCTACTGGATGGATAAATTGGAGATTAAATTAATTATTGTACTCATAAGTCATTTAAAATTAAATTAAGAGCTATTTAAAAAATGGCAGTGAAGATTCTCATATATTAAGACTTTAATCTTGAAAAGGGAATTGTAAATTCGCTCCATTCGCTCTCATTACTGTCAAATAGGTTACTATAAAACGCGCAGATCGTACGAAAATTTTCCGATCAATTTCGACACTTTACCTTCAAAAGTGCATCCTATAGTGTTTCTCAATCATTGAAAGTTAAAAGGGTGACAAAAGATTTCTAGTAGGGATTACTTTCAGAATATAGTATCTATTTTTTTCATATTCTAAACACTGATTTAACAATTTGAAGGAAAAAGTGAATTTATGTTAAGTATTACAGTTACAGAAGAGAATCAGCGGTTCGGAATCGTTCAATACTTGGACGTCAGAATTGATTTACTGTTAATACCATCGAAATTCATTATTGGTTATTTTTATGAGCGATAAACCAATATTATACTATGTATCGAGTTCGATGTAATTTATTGATGGTTTGCTAGCTAGCTAGTAGGCATGTAGTTATGCATTGCCAATTGTTTGTCATGGTTACGATATTAATTGGCTAAGTTACGTATTGGTTGGGTATTTCCAATCCCTTTACAATTCAGAAGTAGTTTAAACTCAGATCTAACAGTGAGCGTGATTTTCTAATACTCGTTATTTGCCACCAGCATGAAAATTGAATTCAATTTAAAATAAGAACGTAAAAAATAAAAAATACCTCTAAAAAGTTAGAAAGATTAACAACAAGTTCAATATAATAAATTTTTAATGCCAATCAGTCGTCATTGGTTAATAATACCATAGGAAACGAATAGAAATTTGAAGTAGTAAGACAATAAAAGTCAAAGAAATTGATATTCAATAACAATGACGAACAATCACTTTGATATTATTTTTGATTACTTATTCGTCATCGGTCACGATTATTTACGGATGCTATAGAAAATACGTCAAAAGTTACGTCTGATAGAAAAAAGGGAAAAATAATATTTACGTATGGAGTTATTTGTTTCATCATGCAATTTTCATTAAAGTTATCTAGACGCTAAACATTATTGCAGCCGGTTGAGTGTTATTCACTGTAAAAAAATCTGTTAAACATCACTTACCTTTAATTATTTATGCTATAAAAACTGCATCAAATTTATATAAAATATCTCGAAAAATTATGTAAATTAATCATAACCTTAATAATATTCGAAAGATTCAATATTTATTCATATAGATAGTTGTGTAGACTCTATCCATATTTTGATTTTGCTAAGCTATTACCGTCCTGTAATCATATATGACGAGCAATGCAAACTGAATGACTGTCCCTAATGATGGCTACAGGACTGTAGTTATCCGTCACTCTTAGTCATCACTGTCAAAAGAAATGTATCAAACTTATGATAGCAATACACGAAAAGTAACCAATTTAACATGTCAAGCAATCCAAATCAGCTCTACTATAGTTCATAAGATAGTCAATTCATACTCTAGTGTAATTATTCTTCGTATTATCTACTCTAAGTCACTAAAATAAAGGAAATGGATCAAGTTGACTGCAGCAATGCATAAAAATAACCAATTTTTAATGTACTGTATAGCGATCAAGACTATCTGAAGTAATGTCTTCAATGATGAATTTGTGTTATTTCCCTTATTACAATATAAGACGGTTATCTATATTTTAACAATATATTCTTCGTCACTACACCAAAGGAAATAAGTCAAAAATTCACGATAGCAATACAGAAAAAGAACAAATTAAATTAAGGCTAATGATGGTAACATATCTTCAACAATAAATAGAACTTTCTCTTCACTGTACTGTATGTTTGCACAGATCTACCTTACAGTATAGCAGTTATCTGGACTTTAGAAATACACTAGCCTAATTAGTTGACTATCTGTCACTGTTACTTTTATTATCCTTAACGAATAAATTTAATGAAATTAATAACGTTTCTCAAGAATAAAAATGTTCTACTGTAACTAAAATATTGATTAACATAAGAGGGAAACAAGATTCTAAAATATTCTTTGTTCCTGTTCCCGTTCTGATTTGTCTCAGCACGAATAAAAACTACCATATTTAGCATTTACAGCCATGTTAAACTATTTGCTAAAAAATAAGGGTCGTAAAATTTCACTTTTACTGAAGTACAGTGGAATATTGAGGTATCAAAATTTCCTTATGTTATTTGAATAACAGGAACAGAAAGTTATTGTATGTTTTTTTCATCCATTTTCAAGTACAAGTTACTGGAAACAACTATTTTAACATTTTTAATGTACTACTAAAACTTCTTTGTATTTTTTCAAAATAATCTATGGTGTTCTAGAGCTGAAAATGATAAATAGCCCGAATAGAATAAAAAATTGTTTGGAATCTATATGTGTACAGTATATTAGAAAATCAATCATTATAGAACAGTATACACACTTGCGTATATGCCAGCGTCAAATCGGAAATTTTCCCATTCAATGTCAATTTCTCAATTAAATTAACCGGTTACTTGACGCAGATGTACTTTATTAAAATGAGTTTTAACACTAACATTGACGAAAATATAGAAAAGGAATAGAGCATTTCGATTGATAACATAGGTTAGGATAACCATCTTATGTTATCACAATTTTTGCCTTATATGAAACTCTTTCCAGTAAAATATTCAGAAGAATGGGGTTTCTAAGTCATCATAGTAGAACCACTTACAGATTATTAAAAAGAATTATATTTCTAGTTTATTCCTTTAATTCTTACCATCAAAATGGGTCTACAATCCTAGGCAGTGTCCATTAAACGTTAAGGCCAGTATCGTACGTCAATGATACCAATTATACCGGCTACTAAATAGATCATTATTCATGACTATTTAAAGCAATTTAAAGTGCGATAGCTAATTATGATCATTACCTGTCTATTTTGGCCATGGTCAAGTATTTAAATGGAACGGTTGCTTCAAATTTGCATCATAACACGAGCAAGTATTGTATAGGGAAATCCTGAAAACGGGCAAAAAATATTTGAAAATATTTGAAAACGATTGTTATAACTGACGGCGTCCTTAACCATCCAAACTTTAAGTTTTCCTGCGGATTACGACTATGTAGCTATTATTACCGTAGATGGAGGCCAATACAAGCAATGTACCTACATCCTTTTGGGAGGAACTTGAAAATCTCGACCTAGATGAACTTGAAAATTTCGACACAGATGAACTTCAAATTGATTACACGGAGTTATTATTAGTACGATAAGATAAATAAGATAGCTTAAAATCTTCTCCCAGTACCACGGTGGTATTTGACTAATTGAAAGGCTGTTAATTAAATTAAATTTCTATATTGTACACCGAAGGGAACGAACCGTTATAAATTTGTATAGTCAAAAAGTGGAATACAGCTGAACTTTAGATAAAGTAATTGTTCTAAATGGTACCCTCTCTCGACATTTATTGACTTAGGGTGAACAGAGATATCTTCTGCCTCCACAGCAAGATTTGGCCAACAAGAAGAAATGTGTTATAATTGATTTAGATGAAACATTAGTCCATAGCTCTTTTAAAGTAAGTCATTTTATCTAGCGATAGAGAGGTTCAATCAGTAGCGGTATTGGCTAATAGTAGCAAAGAGTAATATTTTACGTTGTCAAGAACAAAGGTTGTTTAATTAGTTTGGAGGTTAAAAATTTAGTAATATTGTAAGTTATCATAATCAGTCATTAGAGTCAGTACTCGTTTTTTGCTATATACTATAATTTTTTCGATCAGCTATTACGCAATCGGCTTATGGATTGATTTACTAAGCGAATATTAGGCCAAAGTTATAATAAATTATACCAGTAAAGTAGCTTAATTTGAATAGTACAATATTTCTCGTTCTATTAACGCTGATAGAATTGATATTTCTACCACTTATTCAATACGATTTTGAAGTTTAAACTACGATTTGTTAATAATATATCAGTTGTATACATGTTTACTCTTGAACTAATGCCAATACCATTGCCTCCTTTATCGAAAAATTAGCCGGTTAAAAATGCGGACTATATCGTACCGGTAGAGATTGACAATATCGTTCACACGGTAATGATTGGGATAGTATATTGCTGGAAAATATTTGGTCAGATACGATTTATAATATGATGAATGATTCTTTAATCTAGTTGCGATTTTATAGTATCATAAATAACACGATACTACTGTACTTGTGTCAATTTCTGGTATAAAATTCACCTTTCCAATGGTATTGATTTATTTTTAATTAATAGGTCTACGTCTTGAAGAGACCACACATTGACAAGTTTTTAGAGCGGATGGGTCAGCTGTTTGAATGTGTTTTATTTACAGCTAGTGTTTCTAAGGTACGAAGCAGAAGAATGATGACAATCGTATAAATTTTGCAGTCCTTTATCAGATTTATCTATCTCGTTTATGTAAACAAAACTACTATTGAAAGTAATACCCCTATAATTTTGATATTATAATCTTTTGTGGCTAGCTTTACTCTTGGTCCGACATATTTCATACAATAATTATAGATTTTTCTAGGTATAAAAATTTGAAATTCATTATATTTTATTCAGTATGCCGAACCCGTATCGAAGTTACTCGACAAATGGAACGTCTTTGATAACAAGTTATATCGAGAATCTTGCGTTTATAATCGTGGATTTTATGTTAAGGTAACATTTTATATTTTCCTTTATTTATAAAGTTAACTAACTATTGCGTTATAGTGAAGCGATATTTACAGTAACAAGCTCTCAATAGTTCGAAAATCAATAATTATACCGTAGCGTTTTTAGTAATCTATAGATAATCGAAATATTACTTATGAAAGTCTTTCGCTATGAAGAATGTTACCCATAGAGATTGAACCTTTTTAAACGCATACATATATTCTATAACTTATGTTTCTGTAATTTAAGTTTATCATCTGGTTCTTTAATGGCAACTAGGATTTAAGTAAACTTGGTCGCGATTTAAAATCAACCGTGATACTCGATAACTCTCCGACTTCCTACGCTTTTCATCCCGAGAATGCGGTAGGTCTTTGCGTAAAAACGAGTCTAAAAAGATATATAGGATAATAGTTTTATTAGAGTTTTATCCGAAAACAGAAAATTGAATAGCACAGTAATGTATATCTACCTGATCACAGCTAATAATCTGCCATTTAACGGAGCTATGCAATCGTCGGCGAAACTTATTTTATAGTCAATAAATAATGAGATAAACAAGAAGAAATTTATATTTGTACATAGCTGCTAAAATATTAAGATAGCGATTAAATCACTTCTAAAATAAATAACCTATTTTCAATCGACGAGAGAAATAAATAAACTAATCTTACTTAATTTTTAAACTTGCTTCTTAATATTATTTAATTTATTGTAAAGGTTCCTATACGCTCGTGGTTCGATGATCCTGCTGACAATGAATTATTGGATCTCATTCCATTTTTTGAAGGATTAGCTCAAGCTGATGACGTTCGACATTACTTGAGTCAATCGCCTAGGTGTAATCCTAACCTTTTAATTACTTCACTTCCACAAACTCCACAAAATGCTCAAACGATTATTACTAAACAAGCAAATCATAATGGTGACATAAATCAAGATCACTCTGAAAATCATGAGATGGAATACAGCGAGAACGCAACAGATGAAGAAGTGTCTGTGGTAAATAACATTATAGTTGAGAATATAGCACAAGAAAATGCTGAAACAGCTTTCCAAGAGACAAATCTGACAACGCCCGATAGTACTCAAATTGATAATCAACACAGAAATCATGATGCCAATATCGTAAGTAATGGCAATGGCCAATCAGTGAAGACGGTTACCGTCAACTTTGACGAATCTACTCTTTCAGTCACGAGCCCTATGGTATTGGAAGTTGAAAATAGTATCAATAATGCTAACTCTAGCCAAAACTCAAATACGTCAAGCAATGATTTAGTTTATTGATTTAATAATCAAAGTTACTAATTAATTGACGTAACAGAAATCATGGCGAAAACAGTAGGCAAGTCTTTTAATTAAAACTACTGTGAAGACTTCTAAAATGGATTAAAATCATAATTTGAGGTCAGGATACCGAATAAGAATCAAGTCCTGCATTCTTTTAGAGATTTTTGAAATACGATGAACTATAACCTAAATATAAAATTAGTTGTTACCGTTTCATCAATTCGATGTATGTCCTATAACTATGTTTTAGTGAGATTGAAAGACACTATATTGGATAGTTAGTACAACCGATAAGCAGTAACAAGATATCTATAAACTATTGTACTGAATGCAAAGCTTTGAAAATGGACATGAGTTGTCGCAACGAAATCAAATATAAGTTACTCCAGCATTCATATTTCGATTTTCATTAGTGTATTCCTTTATAATATATCATTAATTAATTGTATCCCATCAATTTACCACATCATACTACCATTAGTTATTATTCCATGGTCTGATAAAATTTTTAATCTTTAAGCGTATAGCTGGCTACATGCTGGAATTTAAAATAACACCAACTTCATGTCAAATAACGCAGTGATCATATCTTTGTAACCTAAAAATAACTTGTGTATTTTTTATCGATAAACATAACAGGAGAATTTGAGAATTGCTTAATTGAATGACGTAACATTTCGCATCATACCAATTTAATCAGCTGCTAAATAGCTCTCTATTTCTAAACTCTTGCAATTGCCTCTACTATTTCATAATTCGTTGACTTTCCTATGATCAGATCTGTGAAACAATATTATATCTAAACGGCTAACAAAATAAGGGTATATTTTTTACAACATTGTTGATGTATTAGCTATATACTACTATCATTAATATCCTAAAGCTACCGGATATTTGTGAGTCCATTTAATTGCAATCAAACTGGCTATTGTAATGTTATTACGAAATGCCATTTAGAAGTATTTTTTGAAATATGTATTAGTTGCTATGAACATCAAATCATGATATCGCGATAGTATTTCTATTACTAACACATGCCATATATTCGAATCTTTCGTATAATCTCTTTAATTGATGTTACAGTAATGTATTCATTTACATGTCTAGACTGTACTTCGTATCATCGATATGATCGCATTGTGTCGAATGTTTCTTCATGCAGTACTCTGGATGTTCTCATATTCAACTAAATTAGCTATTAACAGTAGACTACTTTTATTATGATATAGCTTTGTATTCCTCATTTCTATATTTTTTGGGTAACATATTACCTTCTTTTTCATAACTATATTATATCTTAATGATACGGGCTTACTCGTATTCGATTAAAAATTGAAATAGTGATTACATAATTCACTTACATATATGTAAAATATCCGGTAAATATCTAGGTAGTTACTAGAAATTCGCAGTTGAATATAAGACAGTGATGTCATTAGTTGATATCATATATTACTCCAAATATATATAGGGGTAAAGTTAAGTAGTAACTGATTTGGGTCTATTTTATGCTAGTAAAAAATTGCTTATAGTTATAAGATTGTAATATGATCCTATACATCATTGTTGGATTTACTTTGTTTTGGATTTTGTACGTGTTATATACAAGTACAAAATACAATTTCCAATAGTGAAAAACTAGCATGTATTTCATTCTTATTTAACTTTATATTTAGTCTATATTCTAATCGTCGCTTGAATATTTTCATTTCATTATTTTGTATGGTTTCCTCTTTAAATAATCTACTATGCATTTGCGTCTATTTTTGATAGTATAAAAAATAAAATATCATTTTCTGCTGATGCATGTTTAATTATAACTTCGTAGACATCTGATCAATCTAGAGTACAAGTGAATTATCGTACATATTAATTTCAATTTAGCTTTACTTTTCTCGTATTGTGAGTGTTATCAGGTCTCAACTACTATACTACAAATATATTAGATCAATTACCGTAAAGAAATCTGTTACATAATTGGAGGCTACGTGCCTCTAAAGTATTGTATCAATTTATAGGCTTGATATTGTAGCGCTATAGCAGATACAAATTGCAAGAAAGAATGTCTATTATAATTTAGATATCAAAACTTACACATCATTTTAATGTTCATACGTGTACGTAGTTAAGTGAGCTGAAGAAAGAATACCTTTGATGGAATTGAATGCTGGCGTATATATAGACATAGAAAAGTTCTCTCTTGTGTACAAGTATCTGAGTTGCACATATCTGATGTATGTCACATAATCGCATTTAAACGTTGGCAGATAAATAATTCATATATACAGTGCTTAATACTGATAGGAAAATGTAGGACCAAATAATTTTTAATGCTGTATCATATTCTCTTATAGTATGGCTATGTATTCTTTGCTTCTCAGCTGGGTAACACATTGCCACGTCTAATAAAATTCCCTAGATATTCGTTGATACTTCCACAAGGTATTTCTATACGAAATAATATCGGTCGTCTTCGTAAATTTTTAATTAGAAATAGGTTTAAAATCAGTATTGACATTGACAATTTACATTATTCAAATGTCTATCTGACTAGTAAATTATATGAAAGTATCGTATACTTGAAATACTGTTTTGGGGATCATCCGGTCATTTTCACACTTTTAAGATAGAAGCAGGCTTTTGAAATCAGTATTAATATTTATAATTTACACACACTAAAATATTTGCTTATCAGCTGAATTAAATGATAATACCGTGTATAGATAATATTTTGTATCATCTAATTATGTTATTTATCTATATACCTTTTCAACTAGAATTAAGTATTGTTTTGCAGGTGATTGGTACGTATGTAAGCATGTATGTATATGTATGCGTATATGGTAGTAAAAACTTGAAGTAGATACAGTATCAATATTAAACAATATTATAGGTTATTCTTGATGAAAATATCATGTACTAAATAGTATAGACTGGTGATGATCAATTTTAATAGTAAGTATAGGCTTCTTTCATCAGGATACTCTGATGAAGCACGCGTACATAGCTGTAAGTAAAGTGGACTATACTATTTAGGTATTTCAACCTAAAAAGTTAAGAGCAATAAACTCACTTGATAATATAAAAAATATCATCGCATTGTAACGATTATGTTCTGAATAGCAGAGCTTACAATTTTGAGATTGATACACCTGTTGTTTATCTCAAGAAACAAGATATAAATACGCCTTTAGAATTGCAATTAAAATAAAGAGATAGATTTATTTTACAGCAGCCGTCCTCTTACACCGATACGTAATGTCGTGCATGAAATGTAAAAGGAAATGATTAGCACGAGTGTTAATGCGTACAATATCGTTATGTTTTCATTAGACCATTATCTTGTATACAGAAACGTCAGCTTTAGTTATTAAAAGTAACCGCTAATGTTAGGATAAGCTATATTTTATCATTCTCTCGTAAAAAATAACGACTATATTTTATGACAGCGTATTTCGTAAGCAAGTAAAATACATAGCCGATATTTAAATGACGTCAATTAATATAGCGTCAGAATTTTAAATATTGCCACTTACTTGAGTAAAACAACAATATTTTTAGGTGAAAGGAAATATACCGAGTCTTAAATAGGTTGTTCTTCCTTAAAGGATTATTACATGTTAAATATTTCTTATACAAAAATTGAACAGAACAATGATATACAACACTTAATCATAATGGTATCTTTGTCCATTAATTTATATTGGTAACGTGTGATATGTCGGTTACATAGCAGAAGTAAGCCCAAATCAGTTAATTATAAAATATCAGCTTTACGAAATTGAAACAGAATAAGAAATTTTTAAGATATTAGTTATTTCTTGCCCATACAAATACTGTATTTCGGGGAACACGAGCCTACAGCTCACCATGTACAATTTTTATAGCTGTAATTTAAAACTTTTGCATTAAGTCCAACGTTGGTACTAACGTTTATGTCAATCGCTTGGTCAATTATTAATAATAATTATTGAATAACTTTGGAATTTATAGATGGGTAGATAAATTATTACGATATCACAGAGGTTAACGAATCTCCCTCAAATTCATTTTCTTCTGGAGCCAATTTAACCAAACCATTACAGAATATGGAAACAGCTGTAAAAGGTAAGAACAACATACGTAATTCAATATAAGATAGATAGAAAATGCTTTAAAATATTATTACATGGAATCTAATTCTTACTAGGAGGTAACTTTATGATTCCTTCAGGTATGTCAGTAAAGTATTGATGATTCATTGCGGCTTGGCAAAATATTCGTTTAAATGGTTGATACTAGAGAAATTCACATCATATAAGTACTTATCGTGATTTAACTACTTAATTAAAGCTATATTTACCTGCAGCATCTTAGTAGCTAAGTCAGCAGCACCCGGGTCCTTCATAAGTCTAAATTTTTATATGGAATTGATAAATAGCCTGTTAACATTGTATACCTTTCAAAATATAAAAATCCGTAAAATATGAGCAGTTGTAACCTTGGTATAACTTCAGCGATGGTTCGTGACTCATAAAACATGGTTTCAGCTACAGAAAATAATTACACAACAGTAGAAATTACCACATGTGTTCGAATAACATCGCATGAGCAACATGAAACATTAAGAATGATGCTAAAGACCTAAAAGTCTAAAGAAAATTACTAATAAAAATGCTTATTCAAAGTAATCTTTCAATACCAGCACAATACTCAGGGTAACTTGTAACTCCAGGCCATGTTTCTTCAGTGGGCGTACCCAGCTTATGCCAGATTTTATCTAACTGGTCACTAATGTTTCTTACGCCTGGGAATGTTGCAATGCCAGATACCATTTCAGTAAATATACAGCCAACTCCCCTTTAATGTTGTAGAAGATGCTATTACAATTGGATACTGATACTATATCGAGATTCAGGTTTTCTACAACAATTGACACAATAAGAGATATAGTAAGTGTACCATATATCCAATGAAGTTGAATAATTTGTTGATCCGAGCAGAACATCCGGTGGGCGATACCTGAAGTATAATTCATCATTTTTTTAAAATCCAGATACCGTGGGATTATATAAAAATTGGGTCAATTAACCTACCATAAAGTCACAACATCGGGTGAGTAAGTTTTACTAGGAACAGATTTTGCTCTAGCTAATCCTAATAAAATATGTACTTTTATTTAGTAATGATACCAATGATTAAAACGTAATAAAATGATGTGAAAATCCGTCACTGCTTCTTTATTCATTACCAAAATCAGCTAACTTAATTTCACCAATTTCACTGACAAGTATATTTTGTGGCTTAATATCCCTAATAGTAGGTAAAGGCAAAGCAAAAGGTGAAGATCAATTTATTAACAGAAATAAGTCCTTTCCTTGGATTTTATTGTAAATAGCCTAGGTGATTGCTAGATTTTTACACTACCTATGTAATATCCTTCGTTGATGACAGTACGAAAGGCCTCTTAGAAGTTGGTAAAGAAAAAGCTATGCGATAAAAATACAGTACAATTCTTTTTAATCGCTACGAATATCATAAAGAATGAATTAAAATTAATAACACAGAAAGCTTACTTTTACATTTTTCATATTTAAACCGCCTGGATGAAGATTTAAATATTGACTAAGATCTGTTGTCTGTTAAAATAGTCATGTGTAAAGATTAGTAAAATCTATCTATAAAAGAAGTCAGGATTGTAGCAAATGAATAGTGTAATGAAGCTCTAACATACAACATATTCAAAAACAAAGGTTAATTTCGTTGGAGTTTGTATAATATCGTGAAGAACTACGATATTAGCGTGCTTTAATTGTTTTAGCAAAGAAGCTGAAACAAAAAAGGATACTTTCAATGATTACAATGAAACAAAGAAAATTCTTAATTAGGTCTAAATAACTGCTGAAATGAGAAAATAATTAGTTTACCTTCACGTATAGCTGTAAATGGTGTTCCTTCCTCTTCATTTAAAGTGATTTCTTTTAAGGCTACCAATTTTTGATGGCCTCTAGGTAAACAGTTTTTTTGATAGAAAAGCAAAATTACCGACGTCGTCAGTAAGCGATATATGGTGGACAAATGTACACCGTAATTATAAATAGAACTGAATAAAAACCGCATTTGTCGTATTGTCATGTAATAGATCAGTAAAAAAATGATGCTCTATGCTTGTATAAGAGTTCTCTATGATTAAAAGTGTATTAAATAGACTTACATACTATATCCCTTATAAACAGTAGCATATGATCCTTCGCCTAAAGGTTCTAACTTTTCATAAGCATCTTCAGTACCAAATGGTATGCTCTAAGCATTGTAAAAAATAAAATTTTTTTGATTTATCTTAAACACTGAATTTAAAGTCTTCATTTCTCGATAACAATCCTGCTAATTTATTTAACAAGTGCTCAGGTAACTTGGTTAAAGGAAGACTGACTAATTTAAAACTTTAATCTTAGATCATCATAAATTATAAATTAGTCTAGGAATTATGATGTCTAGACTGAGGCCTTTAGAATCATAAAAATACTATAAGCAATTGCTGTTACACTAAGTTTCATTCCAGGTGGCGAAATATATAGGTAGTATACATACATAACATTAACAGACAATTCGATTAGACAATAGCACATTTCGGTGAAGATATTACACTTTAGACTGTACAGAAAATAGCAGAAACGATAAGGATTCAAGCTATTTTTTACAACATTTCATAAAATGGAACAAGATGTGAATTACTGACGCACACCATTACAATAATTTATAAATGGTACCAATGCGTACAGTCAGTCTATCCACACGTTACTAGTAGACTAATATGATACATAAAATACATTAATTAATTACATTAAATATTCCTTCTACCTAAAAATGTGTAATTTCAACTGTAATACCAATATAACACAACGTATATTAGCGCCGACTAATTATAAATATCTTATTAAATAATAATAATAATAAACCAATACCGGTGATTCGATGGCAGCAGAGTGTCGCCGTTGATTTGAAATCTGCTTACTATTACCACTATTTTCAATAGTTTCCTTAGCTGCATTTATTTTTTGGCGAACTGTTTCTGATTCATACATGGAAGAATAGCGACGAAACGGAAATAATTTAGGTCTAAAAGTGGTATTTGTACCAAAGGCGGATCCTGTCGCTGATCCATCATCTTGGCTAGAAACATTATTGCGATGATATTTTATTTTAAAACTATTTCCTTTTTTTTCTTTCCTATTGACTGTTTGTTCGTCCTCCTTGTAAAATAGTTAAGTAGTAAAAGTTGGATTGAAAAGAGGTAAATTATAAGTATAGGTAGTATTAGGTGTCATTTAACTTGATAGAAAAGAGGGTTGAAATTATTGTTTTCATTTTGGGGGATAAATTAGATAGTATTAATACATTGACGGCTAAAATTTATTATCATAAAATCCAAGTTTGTAACAAGTTGGTCGAATTGACTTGCAGTGCAATGCAGACTGATAGATATCTGTATTCCATGACGTCCAAGATAGGTTGAATTTGTACTGTACTATTGTAAAATATACACTTGTATTAAATTAGTGAAGGCTATTTTATTCTATTTACTTGTCGATCTTTAGTTTCGTCATGATTTAAATTCTCCGGTTTGGCTTGATCATCATCATCGGGGCTAGTTCCACTAGCTAGGAGAAAAAATTATTTAATAAAAAATAGGTGATTAAGGAAAGAAAAATTGATCCAAAATCTTCGAAGCACTGCAATAGTAAATTAATTAGTAGTGGTGTTCAAGAGCAATGAAAAAAAAAATAATTGGTATCGTCCAAGTCAGTATATTGTATATCGGATAAAAATTTTCTAGTAATTTTATCTACATTTATAATTATATTTTCACTTTTTATCAGAGTCAACGTTAATGGAAAATATTAACTCAATAATAGTACATTTTAGTATACTCGTATACTAAATCAATAAAGTAAACTACTGCAATCTAATTTTTTTAGACTAGATTGATCATTTCTACAGTCTACTTATGACGTTATATGTTGGAAATAGTCATGATACGATTTTATCAACTAAATTTAACAAGAGACAGAATCAAGATTGAGAATTTTTACGTCGATTGGATCGTAGCAAAGTAACAGCAGCTTGTATTGCCGTCGATCACAGTTGGTAGTTATGCTAGAGTTACTTCCAATAAGTAGTAGTACTGTATCAATGTTATCGTAGCATGTGGAAAAATGGGAATATGGCGATCTGTGATTGTGCTTTCTTATCCCTTCGCATTGATAGGCAATACATATTAGTAGAACTAATGATAAATCTATAGCCAATGCAATTGGGGACAGCTCGTTGAAGATAATGAAAATAAATCAATCAATCGGTTAATTGAAGGAGATATCAATCGCTTTTACTTACTATTCAATCCTAATAAGGTGGCCGAAAGTCGACGTCTTAGTTTCTTCATGGCGACTAGAATAAAAGAATGATAATTTAAAGCTGTTAGTACAGTACTATGATGATGATGATGATATCATGCACGTGTGTATGATATATCTAGTACACACACTGTAGTATTCTACTTATGGCCATCTTCAAACATTGATGACGAAAGATTGTCAATATATGTAGAGTGTAAAAAAAGATCGCAAAAAAGGAATAAAGGAAAAAAAACCAGCAAAATAATAAATGGTACTCCAGTTCTGCCAGTTTCGAAATAATGGAGTGAATCAATAATTCATCAACTCTCTATCACACTTCCGTTAAGATAGGACGAAATGAGTAAAAGATCGATATTATTCAAAGTAGTGATGGAGTATTTTCCAATGTGGAAAAAATGCTGTCATTATTTGTTTAAGTTGTGGTTAATAAAGAGGTGTCGTTGAGAGCACAAAAGATGGAGAGCTCGTATCCTATCCAACGTAGTTCAATATTACATTAGTCATCCGATACGACATTAAAGTTGGTCTTTTAAATGACGTTAGATAGAATTATTATGACCATCATTGCTGGTAATTAAACCATGGTAGATTTTAAGCTATTCTACAGTAGTGGAAAGGAATGGAGTAGTTGGAATGGAAAAGTCCATTACTGAAATCATCCTAGTCTTGCATTGGATATCGCATTTTACTTACGTAGTGCTGCCTTGAGTCTGTCAACGACAGTCCAATAATAATAGCGACAATCTGTATGGACAGAAGAAGCAGTAAGCCAGGAAAAAGAATGGATACGCTCAATCAAAGGCAAGATAATTTACAGATCGACTACAAACAGTAAAACCAATAATAAAGATAAACTATATTGTAATGTGGGATTTTTTTTTGCCTGTTGAGATTGGCTGGTGGTCTGTGTGCAATGCCTGTCGTTTTTGGGGGGATAATTGTAAATTGTCGTTGGACTTGCTTGCTTACTAACACCCTCTATACAGCCTACTGAAGTAGTAGAAAACAAAGTGAACAGGTACAGGTGTTGGATTGTATATTGGAGTAGAGTAGGTGTGGCAGTGTACCGATTAGCGACCACTTCATACTGTAGTATGGTGACATTCGTTTTGCTTCCGATTGATGATACTGCTTGGATACAAGGGTGACATCACTTTGGAACAGCAAACATTGTACCCTGCCCAGCAAAGTAGTGGACACACTACAGTACGGTACAACACAATAAGTGACTCGCCACCCCTCCATTGTTATTGTTGGTTCATTACAATTGAATACTTGCAGTAATTAACAGCTTCATCGTGCGCAAAATGAACTGTCACCCGCTCAATCTTCTCTCTCCACAGTATCCTATTATCCTACGGAGAACAAGTAGAAATCCAATGGCGTTGGGACTTTTCATTTGCACACTCAACACACAACAAAGATGGTTCACTTTCTTCTTCATTATCTACCCTATAAAAATATTTTCACTACTCAGCACACAGTGCTATTCCACTTGTATTCTCTACTGTACAATGCATATGGAAAAGTAGAAATTCTTGTAAGCATTTCTTCCACTGTAAGTAGATATTTGTTGGTTATTGAGTATCCTATTATCCTACGGAGAACAAGTAGAAATCCAATGGCGTTGGGACTTTTCATTTGCACACTCGACACACAACAAAGATGGTTCACTTTCTTCTTCATTATCTACCCTATAAAAATATTTTCACTACTCAGCACACAGTGCTATTGCACTTGTACTCTCTCTCCTGTATAATGTATTATCCTACGGAGAACAAGTAGAAATCCTATGGCGTTGGGACTTTTCATTTGTACACTCGACACACAACAAAGATGGTTCACTTTCTTCTTCATTATCTACCCTATAAAAATATTTTCACTACTCAGCACACACACAGTGCTATTGTACTTGTACTCTCTACTGTACAATGCATAAGGAAAAGTAGAAATTCTTATAAGCATTTCTTCCACTGTAGTAGATACTTGTTAGTTATTGAGTATCCTATTATCCTACGGAGAATAAGTAGAAATCCAATGGCGTTGGGACTTTTCATTTGCACACTAAATACACAACAAAGATGGTCAACTTTCTTCTTCATTATCTACCCTATAAAAATATTGTCACTATTCTGCACACAGTGCTATTGTACTTGTACTCTCTCCTGTCCAATGCATATGGAAAAGTAGAAATTCTTGTAAGCATTTCTTCCACTGTACAGTAGTAGATATTTGTTAGTTATTGAGTATCCTATTATCCTACGTAGAACAAGTAGAAATCCAATGGCGTTGGGACTTTTCATTTTACACACTAACATAACAAATATGGTCAACTTTCCTCTTCATTATCTACCCTATAAAAACACTACTACTCAGCACACAGTGCTATTGCACTTGTACTCTCTACTGTACAATGTACTTGGAAAAGTAGAAATTTTTGTAAGCATTTCTTCCACTGTAGTAGATATTTGGTAGTTATTGCTGCTGAAATAGGCTATCACACACCATAAATTTCAACTCGATTTTTAATAGGCGGTATTGCAATACTTGAAGCTAACTTGAACGATGATAATAATATTGATAATTAATCATACTGATTCGACATTAGGGGAAAAAGTATGCAAGATACTCTATTCTTATTGATAGATTCACTACTATCATCTGTTAATTTCCCACCTAAAAATAGTCTCCAATAAAAGCAGTTTATTCCATACTATACAGTACAGTACAGACAGTACGAGAAGAATTGGTTAGGAATCTCGTCGGCTACGCGTTTGATAGCATTGATATGCTCGCTATTTTATTATTTATTTTTATTATCCCACTACTGTAAGCGCTTTAAAATCCACGTTTCATCATCAATCTAGTGAGCAAGTACACACTTATCGGTCAAGATGGCTCGATTCTTGAGTGCTTTCTACTTTACCTATAAGTTCTAAGGGCTAGTATTATCTTGATACTATTTTTTTTTTAAATTATCAATCTGGTATCCTATCTTCCCACTGCTATTGCAATTACTAGAAGATTCGAGGTGATCGATGACAAAAAAAAAAAAAAGAGGATAAAATCTTGACTAGAAGTATAGCATATAGGTACAAAATAGATTTCACGTACCTTTATGGCATAGCTAGAGAGTACAAAAATTTGGGTAAAAATTAAAATCTACATTCAACTGAGTAGTACTATAAGAGTTAAGTTATAATTTACTAGCGGTCATTTATCACTAACTTTTTAGGGACGTCAATTATATAATGTAATTAGAAGCATATAGGACATAGCACATAATTATTTCTTTTCATTTCCTTCCCCTTATGCAGTAATGTAAGAAATAATAATTATAATAAATAAAACATTTCAAGTACTCTACTAAAGTATTCCTACAAAAATCAGCCGAAAAGTTTACTTTATATAAGTTGCGATTCCAAGATAAGTTACAAAGTCGTGTTGATTCTATACAGTACTGATGTAGAGTTGGATGCAATTTATATCAGAGCATTGTACTGCATTAACAATTTTATCAACCAAATACCACATACGGGTAAATCAATAAAATTTCGAGTTTAACTTATGCTGATATAGGACACCGACATTAGCTAATTACTGTATAATAGAGTGCGATACAGTACTCTAAAAGTGGTAGAGTTCTGTCGGCTTTTAGTAAGAATAAAATATGTAGTCTTTCTAATACGTATGCATGTAAGTATCGCAATCGCCCCATCCATTTTATTGCCATGTTACAATATGAGCGGACTGGATAGAAAAAATGAGCACACCCAATTTATTTATTTTCTCCATCAGTCGTGACTACTGTAGTGCAAGGTAGATTTCTAAAGGTAGAAAGGTTTTTTTTTACCCCCATTTGCTGGATCAATATACCGTATTAACCTTACTATTAACAACAATATACAATATTCTAATTAATAATTACTTACAGAAATAATAAGGTAACAATAATAATAATATTATAATAAAGACAGTAAAAACTAATAAAATAATGCCAGTGCTTTACTACTGTACGTCGGTTTAATGAAAACTAATAACTAGATACAGTATATCGTATTAAATCATGTACAAGGCACAGTGTACAGTATATTAAGTATACCTTTAAAATGCTCTCGCGAGAATCTTCAATGAATTCAAAGCTTTTAGTAATTTGTGAATTCTGTGGCTAAATGACTACCATAAACGGTATTAGATCCGAAATATGAGCGCAGTTTTTAACTTTCAAATTTAGTTATCGTAATACATTACACCGCATCATAAAAGCTAGCGACTTAAACGTGTGAGCTATTGAATTGATGCTCATGCAATCACGCTTAAGATGTTTAAATCGAGTTAATGCGATAAATAAATAAATTAATTAATTCATTGCTAAATGACAACTCTTCAAGACCGCAGTCTGCGGTACATTCCTACTAACGCAGCAATAAATGGACTTAAGGGTAGGGAATTCTCGCCACAGTAGGTAGTTGTCCTGTGTCCACTGCGGTTTAGTGCTACGTGCTATCTTACTTTCTTGTTACAGTATAGCAAACACCGATCGGTAGACCACTATGCTACCAATGAATCACAGTAGTGAACTCGTGTTATCGATTGGTAAATTTTATTCTAGAATTTACTCCTTGTGCTGCACTGTATTCGTTCTACAGTGCTTTTACGTCGTCACCTGTTCCATCAACCGTAAGCTACATAGAGCAGATGGAAAATAGGAACTCCTACTTTCAGTGAGCATGGAGTAAGAACAGAATAAAAATACTGCAACGGTATAATTAGATGGTTGAATTAAGTAGTAATCAATAAGGCTGCTACTTCTTGATCAAAACTGTTATCCTTGAGGAATGCAGGAATGAAACAAATCGAAAGCGATCATTCCACATACTGAACCCATGGCAAAGCTGTAGCTCGAGTGCAATACGCTGATCTAAATTAAAAAATTTTCTCCATCGTCTACTCTGGTTTAAAAAATTCATGCAAATAATTTCATGTGGCTAAGAAATATTTCAAATGATAACGAACACTCTAATCTACATTACATACAGTACGCATCTGTACGAGAAATATATATACAGTATACTGTACAGTATATGAATTCAAGACTACCAAAAAAGTATAGCAAAATAGAATTGAGCGACGCAATTTTGAGAAGTTGATGAACATTATTTGGAAAAGTTTACAGTGCAGAAGGTAAAGTTATTGGTATAAGAACGAATAGAAAAATGAAAGCCCAACGAACAATAACATACGACAGGAATAACAAACAAGAAGATGAACAAAGGAAGTTAATACAAAAAAAACTTAAAGCAACTTATTTAGCATGCGAGTATTTCTACTGATAAACTCATCTACCCCCACTACCATTGCTTAATCAAGCCACTCCTGTTGGTATACCGCTATCATTACTGCAGGCAGTAGGTAAAATTCATTTTTGAACGGTCTCTTTTCTCCAAGACTGCCCTTTCCACTTGGTCGCTTATTTTACTGTAAGCTCAAGGATAGAATACTCGCATCTTATCATAGCAAGATATCAGTACAGTACGTCATTCTCGGTACATTCTTCCTATTTCTACTTACTGTCAGCTTTCGATTAATGAAATTGGTGCACGGAAAGTAGTTACGCCGTTCTCTTGAACTCACTGGCTCTCAACAACTTGAAACGACGATTTCATTTGCCACCTCCATCATGATGCTGCAGTTCAGCTTTCCCAAGTTTTATACTATCGTTCTGCAGTTGGCTTCCAGTTTAAACTGCAGTACTGTACAGTACAGTAGTTTCGATCTTGACATCATGACTCATACAGTTGAGTGTACAGTACAATTGCTGTACTGTCTGTGCGTACGGTCTTTTAGCACTCCAGTCTGCAGCAAGGGGAATCTGTTTTACTAATATCAATAACATGGAAGAAGGAATTGAAATATTTTTATTTTCTTTTGAATGGATGGATAATACATCCATACAATATTCAATTTTGGAAAATCAAAAGTGATCGAGATTTTCATTCCCATATTTTAATTACAGTTCAATATGGGACTACAGAGTTGAAGTAGTGCTAATATCTTCAGCAATGGGGGAAAAAATTGGGATTAAACAAATTAAAATTGCATCATAATTTAGGGTATGGAAACTATTGACTATTCTTAAAATAATAGAATCAGCTATTTGAACTAGGACAAGTATGGAGGAGACTTATTGATTAATTGATCTATCTATTGATTATTTTTCATACGAAGAAGCATTCAAAGTGAGAAATGTTTCTTTAAGTTAACCTTAATGGAGTCAGCTCAATTTTGTCACAGTGTTTATTATTTACGCGTACTTGATGTACTGTATTGTACAGTACACTCATACTGTACTCTGCAGTCCATACTGTCATCTGCAGTACAGTACTGTAGAGTAGAGTCACTACTGCTGCCGTTTTATGACAAAAGGAAGCAATGTCAATTTTTTCGAAAATTGGAGTTTATTAACTGTAATTATTGATTAGGGTGTAATCTAACGGCATAGTACATTTGAAGCTGTTCCTAATATTCTTTGCCTATTTTTTTTTACTCAATTGGTATGCCCCATTAAAAGGGAATATCTACCGTTATATCGTACGCTAAGTTCTACAAAGTTACTAAACATCGCTGAGATGGCTATATATCTATATAGCTATCACCTTGCTTCCTTTTGTCATATAGTACTGTACAGTGTACAGTACAACGGCAGAGTGGCAGGGTACAATACTGTACAGTCTGTGCTGTACATTTTTAGTTTGGTTCAAAATAGATGTCACAGTTGCAGCGTACATTATATTAATATACTGTATTATCCTCTACATTGACGATTTTAGGATGGATGCATATCTATTTTGCACATTTGATACAGTATCGTCAATTCTGTACAGCACTAGTTTACCTACAGTATTCTTTATTTTTGAGGGGCTTTCGTTTGCTGCAAAATCGATGTCACAGTTGCAGCTTACAGTATTGTAATATATTATCCTCAAGATTGACGATTTTATGTACATCTGTTTTACACATCTGATACTGTATTGTCATTATTGGTATAGTACAGTATATCAATATACTGTACACTGTACAGTACAGTACAGTACAGAGCAATCCAACTCGCTACAGTACATACTTTCAGTACAGTACAGTACTGTACAGAACAACGAGGCAATAAAGTACTGTACTCCTGTACTCAGTGTACTGTACAGAACTGTACAGTACTGTATACAGTACCTTCAGCCCTTTACCTTCTGCACTCTACCGTACTGTACACTGTACAGTATACTGTACAGTGTACACACACTACAGCACTGTAGGTATGCTACATCATCCCTTTTTGTTTCAATCGCTATGCTTATCAACTCAAGTTGAGGCGATCGTACCTCTCCGTGAGTCATTTACAAGACAAAGTGGTGCAGTCGACGGCGCCAGACTAGACCGATACGTCAATCATATGCCGTGAACTGTATGCAGCGACCATTCTAATTGGCTAGTAGAGAATAGATAGACAAAGATTTGTGAGAAATTTCCCAATTCTATTGCGCATCATTCTTCTTCTTTTGTTTGTCAAGACTATACGACAGTAACGCAATCTAGTGGTGGCTAGTCATTGCAGTTTACATAACAAACATCCATTGGATGCCTTTAGGTGATTTGAGGGGGCCATTGACAAGTTACGACCAGTAGTGTGGGCCATCATGAGATCGCATACAGTAGGACAAGTCGAGTAAAATAATAGAGAGTATTGAAGACGTCGAGTAGAAAAAGGCTGCAATAGAATGCAATAACGTCAAAACCCTATTGAACAAGCCATCTCAAGAAAGCTATTTTCCTATGTGGATCCAACGTCTTAACTATTCCATCCAACGATCGAGTAAAACTATCCTTCAAGGTATCTTTTTCAACGATACAACAACCATTGACATGTACTCGATATCAAGTAAGTACAGATGAACGCCATGATCAACTTATTGTTTTACTGACATTGATCCGATTGGATAACATTATTATTTTTTTTTTATCTAATCGCAACTTTATCTTTACCGTTATTGAAGGCCAATTTTCTAGTTGTTGATAGCGATAGTAACCGTCAAACACTCCATTTTGATGGCATGCATGATGTTTCAATCATGAACAGTAATGATCTCCAATGCTAGACATTCCCCCCCCCCCCCAAAAATACCTCCAACAAAAACTACACCAATACCCTCTTTCCTATACTGTACTCTTTGTAACATCGCGTCGTCGACGAAATCATCGCAAGTCTATCAACCACTTGGTAGTCTTGATTTTATTCAATACTTTTCAACAAAATGCCACCAAAGCGATCGTATTTCTTTATACAAGCCACAGTACTGAACGTATATTCATGATTTTTCATTTTTTCTCCCTACCTCACTGGGAGCGAGGAGAAGTTTGTTATTATATTGTTATTACAACTCAAACTATCCGTTTTATTTAATAATCATAATATTATACAACCCAATATATCAGTTCAAATCGATCCAGTAGTTACGTCAGGGTAGCAGACTAGAGTGCACTCTCGCCTCAAGTAGTCCAATGGTAGTCAGTATACACTTAACTACCGCAACGTCCGATTACATACAATGTTAATTGATTAGACAAGAGACACTTTCAATGGATGATAACAAGCAAACTTTTTTTTACACTACAAGGCGTGATTGATTGCTAATTATTCTTTTTTTTTTTTCCCCATACATCATGATAGATAGAGAGAATCAAACAAGAATATCCTAACTGAAGATAGCATCGTGTCACAACTGATTGCATGCAAAAGGCGTTGTTTAATTTACATGTTGACTGTTCAATCTAAAAATCAACAAATACAAGAAGAGACGACAGATTTCAACGACGATCCAGTTGAAATTGCAGTGCTTATTTGACACAGTTGATTCCGTTGATGTTCCAACGTTGAATTTATCCACTTTAGTTTTACTTTTGGGGGGCGCGCGCGTAGTGTGTGTGTGTGTGTGTGTATTTCTGCCAAGCTAACACGATCCAAACGTCGAACAGATTCCATCTGTACCTGATTCTTATTGGCAAGCTATTTAAAATCCTCAATTCTATTTGCATTCAAAGTAGTCAAGATGAAATTGAACTCAAGCAATTATCTAGTAGTAGGTTTATTCCACCTACTTACTTGGTGCCTAACTGTGAAAGGAAATTGTCAAATTTTACAAAGTAATTTGTGCTCTGGATTGCAATACAACCAAACCTTTTTCCCCAATTATTTCAATCATAAAGATCAAAGTATCAGTCAGACTGAAATGGATGTTTATAGACCAATGATTGTCAATAACTGTTCACCGGTTATACGCCAGTTCTTATGCTCGTTATACATGCCTAAGTGTATATCGCCAACATCGCAAACCAAACCAATACCACCGTGTCGACCGTTATGTATACGAGCTCGAGATGATTGCAAGAAATTTCTGTCCAATAGTAACTTTGGCTTAACATGGTCCGATAGCTTTAAATGTGAAAATTTTCCCCCTGTTAATGCATTAGTGTGCATTAATGAAAATTTTACAATTGTCCAAAGTGTATCCAGTAGACCACCTAGCGTCAACACTTCTACATCACCGTCTACTCGTGCTTGTGGTATTCTACAAAATCAAAAATCGGAATATACATTTTTAAATATCCCAGGATGTGCAAAACCTTGCCATGACTTCTACTTTAATAGTAATCAAATCCAACTAGCATCATCAGTAGTTGGTATTGTGGCTATTCTTGCTTTCTGTTGCACACTGTTGATCTTTATTACATTTTTAATCGATCGTCAAGGCTATGAATATCCTGAGCGTTCAGTAATATTCTTAGTCTTTTGTTACTGTGTCTTATCATTAACCTATATCGTTGGATTTATGGCGCAAAGAAATATTGCTTGCAATCCATCAACACAATCGGTTAACTCAACAGTTCATCAAGGCTCGGGTAAAGAAGGTTGTACGGTATTATTCCTAATCAATTACTTCTTTACTATTGCCTCCAGCGTATGGTGGGTAGTCTTCTCTCTCGGTTGGTATCTAGCTGCTGGTAAAAAATGGGTTGAAGAAGGCATTAACGCTGTCTCGCATTACTTTCATTTAGCCGCGTGGTTAATACCAGCGATATTGACAATTGTAGTCTTGGCCTTGGGTAAAATTGAAGGCGATGTCCTTAGCGGTATCTGTTTTGTTAATACACGCAGTAATTATTTGTATGGCTTTGTAATTGCCCCGTTAAGTATCTTTCTACTCATTGGGCTTGGCTTTTCAATTGCTACCTTGATATCGTTTTATCGTATACGCCGTGAAATGCTAACTGATCATCGTCAAGGCGATGGAACAGCCGAATTTGAGAAACTGTTAAAGAAAATTGGCATCTTTGCCTTCTTATATGTTGTCCCGGGTATTATTGTAATATCCTGCTACCTCTATGAAGCTAGTAATCAAAACAGTTGGACAGCATATTGGCAACAACAAAATTGTAGACGATACTCAATGTCGTGTTCGTCAACTAGTATACCAGCTAATGCCCCTAATTTAGCAATATTTATTGTCAAATATATCGCCTTATTCTCATTTGGTATTGCTAGCAGTTATTGGATCGGCTTGCAACGAGCAGTAACTGCATGGAAATTATGCTATCGTCGCCTTACAGTTAACCGTGGAGAAGGCGATCAAGATTCGGTTACAGCATCACAAGCCAGAAAAATCGTAAGTTCACCAAATTGTACAGTAGATGAGTAATGAAGTTATCAATAATTGATTGTCAATACCAATTAGGTCCTCCTAATGATTACAACTAGTAATTATTTTAATTTTAATTTTTGGTAATTTCTTTTTCCCCTTACACCTGTCGTAAAAAAATCCTAAAATCAGCCTCGTGAGTAATTGCTAACTTACAATAGCCTCTTTAAATCTATAGTACTATTATATTATTATAAAAAGGAAAAGAGTATGTTTTATTTGCACTAATTAACGGCCTGTTGGAATTTTATTTTTATATCCGAACTAAAGATTCATTTACTATGATTTTCTCTATAACCTACATACAGTCTATTTATCATCCAATTAAGATGGGTATAAAGTAAATCTCATTTTTTGCTTATGTCGACGTCATACCTTACAACATTGCATGAAATTTGAACACAGTATAATAATTGTGCCCCCTCCCAAACTTATCTTGTTTGCACTGTAAGGACCAGTGTACTATCCACTTTTTAAAAGCTCTTTCATTAAACTATCATCCAGTAGGCATTACTTTAAAATACAACCAAATTCTGTATGATTTGTATCATAAGACTTAGTCTATTTGACCATGATATTCTCAAACAATGGCGTAATTTTTTTTCAAGATCTAATCTTATCTCTAGCTATGCCCAACATACAGTAGAACATAAAATGACTTGGGATAATTGAATCACTCATCGTGACTCATTTAGTATTCGAAGACGACAATTTTTCTTGTAAAATAATGTAGTGTAGGATTGCGCTTATGTAGTCAACAAAGCGGAACTGACTAAAATCATTCGACAATAGGAAAAAGTTGAAATCTTTTCGTCAATTTTGATAGTAACGCTGTAAATTGCAACATTATGATATTGAGTTAACGTAATAAGATATCAAATTACTAAACAGATGAACTTAATTATTCCATAAATTTATGTTCTACTTCATGGTCATGAGGGACTATTCAAAAAGTAAAACATCATGTTGATGTCAATATTTTCATTCCAAACTCAATCATGATAGAAAATAAATCATTTACTATAAGATACTTGAAACAATCATGATCGATGAATATTACCTTGGTTAAGTCAATAAAAGTAAAAGCGGCCCGCCGCCCTTTTACTTCATGCTAATGTAGAGATAGAAATAGAAATGAAAAGATTAATTGAACAATAGACGGACGATCCCTAACGATTAGTAGAAATGTAGCCAGTCAACTGTACATAAATTATCAGGTTTTAAGTTAACATGTAATACTTTTTAATGTATAATATGTACTCAACCGTTAGAACGATTGAAATTTATCTAGCGTGAATTAACAGACTCCAAAAAACTTCAAATGCAAATAGATACATGGTAGTTGAAGACCATATTTCTAGTACTAAAGAGAATTTTGACTATGTCGTTACTAATTTACATTAACGTAATTGGGACATGATAATGATTTATACGGTAACTGCAGCTAGAGTTTTCCATCCGATTTCTCGCATTCTGGACACTGAAAAAATTATTTCGATATAATGGCATGTAATATAATAACTAAGGGAACTTTATTTATTTAATTTTTCAACTCCTTTCAATATACCATGTACTTCTTTTTAGTTAATCTTGATAGGAAATGATTATTTACCTTCAAAATAGATATGAAACTAAATAACAAATTCATAAAAGAGTGAGGGAGTAATAGAACGTTATTAATTTAACCTAGTAAATTAATACTATGTTGTAAAGCCCATTCACACATTGCTGAAGACCTTCGCAGTTCAAGCGTTGACTATATGCGTGCCATTTTACATCGTCAATTATTAGGGAACAACCTAGGGGTAACCTTGCTCGTACAGTATCCTGCAAAGATAAAGTTATTGTAGTCAATGTACTCTAGACTCACGTAAGGCTTAAAATATTAGTTGATTTATATTGTTTTAATGATAGAAAATAAGTTTTGTCGTTTTGAAGTCTACAAATTAATTAATTATCCTTGCACTGCGCTATCAAGTCACGTAGCATTTTCGAAAGGCTAAAAATAGTTTCACTAGATATCGATTCTTAAAATTGAATCGATCTTCGATCATATAAAATAATAAACATCTAACTGCCCAATCAGATGGTTTATGCGAATAGAGAGCTATAGATTGTAATGTCTTTAAAGTAGTAAAGGAAGTGGTATATTAATCTAACCTAACTTTTATAATTTGTGACTTTACCTAATATACTAGTATCTATAATAGAATTATAGCATAGCATAAAGATCTGGTAACGCCAGTAAAATGAAAGTAAAACTAAAAATAAGAAAAAATCAAATCTAAGTGAATCCAATTTATAAGACAATTCATTAAATTAGCTAATGAATCAATTATCATGATTTGATAGAGGAATCTAAGTTTAATTCGTCTTACGATTATGATCACTTATTAGGAATTACTATGAAATGACAGATATAAATGTTCTCTTTTTGAATAAACTTTTCTATAATGTATCATCTCGTAAAATGAGGTGACAAAGTTGAGTTAGTAATATTCCAATGCTTCAGACTAATTATTCAAAAATTAAACAGAACGAAAACTAATTATAGTTATGGATAAGTATTATACTAACAAGCGATTGATGATTAAGAAGTAATGATTAAGTGAGTTTTAGCTTCTATTTGCTACTATAGATATAAATTAGCGCTGATGGTTTTAATTTCCTATTGTAAAGATGTTGTTGAACAAGAATAGTTTCATACCCATTAATTATTAACGTTTGAAAGAATAAAGATAAATGTTGATGTTTTATAATCAACAATATTTAATTCAATAGCAATTTTAACGTTCATCAACATATTCACCCTAACTAATTTTGTTAACAAGAAAAAAAGTTTTCTCTTTTCATTAAACGCTTATTACTATACATATTGTACACGCCCCAAAAGGGCCCAACTAAGAAATAGCGACCTTGACATCTTTGGTCTCCATAACAGAAAAACGTTACTATTCAACTAATATTCCAAATAGACTTGACCTTGAAAATATAATCTCATTTCATCCCTTGTCCTAACCCTTACATTTTTACATTCATAATCTATTTTTATAACTCTTAATTTCTCATAGGATGCTTTGATATAATGCGTAATTATTTATAATTTTTTTGTCATTTTTTAATTGAATAGTAAATGGGATGAAATTCTGCAGCGAAGATTGGTGAAATCTCATCGCATCTGGTTCATATTTTTGTACGTGATTATTTAATCAATTTCTTGTATATAAACCAAAATGATGATTATAATGCAAGGCATGAACCTGCATCATTGGAAAAGAATAATGACATGATCATAAGTACATGATCATGAACTTCAATTATTACCCATTTACTATTAATAATATTTGATATATTGCAGTAATTTGAAAGTATGGTGTGAAACATACGAGATCAAAATAAATTGACATTTTAGTAATTATTAACTTGTACAGTAACTTTGCGTGATGGGATGGTATGAATTACTATTGCTATATCAAACCCTTTTTATACTAATATATCATTATAGGTACTATAATAAAAGGATGTTGTCGCAATTAATTTGCAATGTTGAATACTCTGCTTTTCACTCATATAATACATTTTAGCTCAATAATCAATTTAACATGTAATTTTACATGAGTTAAAAGTAACATCCCTGTATGTTATATAAATGGTTCTCGTTTGCAATGCAATGTCTTAGAAATGAAACATTTTTGTAATTATTGATATAATATCTGTCATTAACGCCAATAACTTTTCAAAATTTGATATTGTGGTTATTTATTGTATTCCATTTTAGCTGTATATGATGTTACTTAAGCCATTAAATATTGTAATGTTAGCAAAAAGTTTTGGCCAGGAATAATTACTCTTGAACTCGTGTTTACAACTATATGATTACTGAATATTTTAGGATAAATTTTCGAGCCCATACTACAGTGCTATCATCTATTTTGGCGTATTTTCTCTTTCCTACAATACACTATGGTTCTCTATTGCTATGTGAGCCTCATTTAAGCCTTAAAATGTTCTTATGAAATGATATAACAACTATAATATTAATAATATTAATACAAGTCATAATAGTAATAATTATAATAATTATAATAAGTTTATTTCCTCCTTTGTATGGACGAATATCGTACTCTTTTGTATATGCACTGTAGTTCGTATATTTTACTTCTCAAGGAGTAGACCTACAATTTCATTTATGAAATTGTTTCTTTACTATACTTGATCAAATGTAATGATTTTTACCAATCAACAAGCCCATTTATTAAGGCAGACGAATAATAAATTGATATTTGTTCAGTGACGTTTGAAATTAATTTTACCTTTCTCCTAGTTATTGAAGTATAACTGATATATCTGATGTTTATAACATAGATAATATCATTAATGGAAGAAACTCGACAGTTAAAGTGATCATTATATCGTACTCGCAGGCGACAAAAATGACTACTGTTTCGATGAAATACTTTAAATACCCTTTAATAACATCACTTAATATGAAATACACATTTCATTTTATGTCGATGATGTCAAGTAAATTGCAAAAGCCTCTAGTAAAGTATTTAACTAGCTTTTAAATATAATCACATTCAAAAATTTATATTTATTAGCATGTTCAGATTCACTACTTTGGCTTTGGTTAAGCCATTAAACTATTATCAAGCTGCATCATTATACTATTAATAATAACTGTTAGGTTGTACCGTAGTACAACACCCGATAAACCACACTATTGTGAACTGTAACAGACGCTTGATAACAGAAAAACTTTAGAATCTTTCCATTAGATGTAAGCCGTATTGCAACAGTACACATTTATCATTTTATTTTAATAGACTGATTTAAGGTCATCGTATAAATATATCAAAAAGTAATATTTAGAATGTGACTCTGTCCTAAGGTGATACAATAATAGTTGAATTGCGCACACTAGTCACTTTAAAAGGTAGAAAAGATATACAGTAATGCTTTGGTACGATTGAATTTTACAAAATAACTTTGTACTTTATCAACTTTTACAAAGGACGTATTTTAGACGCCATTGCAACACTTTTAATAGAGAAGCAGCAGTTTAGTTATACGATCGTTTATTATACATAAAAATATCAAATGACACAAAAGCAAGATTTAAAATCTCTTAAGGCATACACACATTCTGGAAGTAATTACGGATAGTATCTTGTAGATATGCCAGAAATAAGCCTGTTAAAGTACATCATTTACAATTTGTACACTTTCACTAATTAAAAATACTATAATAAAAGGATAACAAGATTGAAGTATTATGTCTTTAATCGATGCTGTTAACCTTATGGCTCAGTTGAAATTGACTAAACTACAAAAGGTTGAAATACTCAAGGGCGTAGAAAAAGAAAAGTCAACATGACTATTCACACGATCAAGCCAAGTTGTTACTACCCTCTCGATGGATGTTTTTCTCATCAATTGCAACTCTAACAAAGATCTAGCGGCTGCTGCTTGAATAGAATAAGTACCTAACGATGAGCATAAGTCCATTGACGTTAGCAATTGAGAGCTGCTTATTCAAGTTATACTATTTAATTAAAGTATAAACATTATGAGCTATACCTTTGGATAATTCTACTTCCAACAGTAAAGAAATTAACAATTCGGCAATTTTGTCTACAGTGGTTGCGTTATCGTGAATCCACTGCTTACCAATTTTCCCTTTAAATGACACAGAGTAGTAATCATTTTCAAAATATTAATTTCATTTGTACATAATCATTATTACATTGTAATGATAGCAGATATACTTACCTAATATCCATACAATAGATACAACTGTGATAAGTGATGAAGCTTGACTTCTGACCCACCGCTGTGTTAGGGCATGACTTTTCCATCGAGTTATTGTCGGGAACATCTTAGTCGAGATAATTTTCGTAAAAACTTTATGCGGTTCTTCATATAAACATAGAATCTCAATACAATGGCATAGTACAAGCGTACGATCGTCCAATAACTTTATTTGTTGGTCAGATTTGTCACCTTTAAAAAAAGAATCTTAGTCGATAAACAACTAAAATCATTAAATGACCTGGTTCTATTAAGGTGTATTAAACAACAGAAGAAATACGTATTTACCAGTTAAGGCATTAGATGAGCCAAAATTTAGATCATTTAACAAATCTAAGAATTTCATAACGACCAAAATTATCAAATCTCGGTGGTTGTGTAACTAAAAAATCGAGAACAAACACTGTATCACCTTCGGTAGAATAATGAGGTTATAAATAAATGAGAATTATAATAACAGTATAATATAACTCGGTAAGCAACGAAGATAACGAATCAACCTCTTTCCATGTCTGTGTAACATTTAGTATTTTCTTCATCTAGAAATTAAAATTTTTCATTTCAGTGGTAATTATAAGAGTTGAATTCAAGTACTGAATATTTATCTCAAGAGAAGCCATACCTTTTCCTTAACTTGAATAGTAAAATTACCAGTGCAACTGATAAGGTAGATTAATATAATTTCGATAGTGGCCAATTGTGGATCAAACAGATCTACAGTACGAAGCGTAAAAAAAGGTGATTTTTACCAAAGAATTATCTTGTATTAGGTAAGAATTTTGTACAAGATTATACGAGTATAAAAAATGACGTACCTTTCCATAGGTATGGGTGTTCATTACGTACGTGTAAATCCTTGTTTAGTCAAATAAAAAAATTTCGAAATTTCGTTAAGTATATTGTATATTGATGATTGACCGATATAATAAAATTGAAGACAATGAAAACCATGTATACGCGTATTTGCTGCCATGCTGCTAAAGTTAGATTACAGTCTCTGTATCAATAATGACACACCTCCTTAAGACAATCCGGCCAAACAATAAATACTGTTAGGAAAACTTGCTGTAAATAAATTCTATTACATTTATGGCCTTCGTTAACAATTTTTGTCAGGAAATCAATAATTGGCTTAGCTAATCCTATATAGAAAAGAAGTTAAAATCCATACACTGTGATATCAAACCTGTATGGGATAACATTTATGGTAACAAGTATGTCATTATCAAGGACTACTAGATGCACCTATTAATCCATGACCGCTATCTACATCATAGCTGCATTACTTACCTAATCTTTTACAGATATCAACCATTAAGCGACTGTATGAAATAGAAGCAAGAAGTATTAAATTATAGAACAGTTAATATTGAAAATAAAAAAATAATGATTGTCTGCCGGGTAATCCTACCATTTGGATAATTGTAATTGGTTGCATTCGTCATTTTGGCTGAAAGCAGAGCTTGAGATGATGTGCAAGAACTGAGATAGAAATGAAGAGTCTGGTTTCTGTAAGGATAACAATGCATAGTTCGTGATAAAACAATCCTCATAAGCATGCCATTAAGGTACGACATCAGCATTCTGTTACACAGATTTTAAAAGCCGCAGTAAATGTTAATCTGGACTTACATATTTGCTTTCAAGCTTGATTACAGCATCAACAAATCGATTTTCTTGTGCACATAAAATAGATTTAGAGTAATCATCGTTAATTAAATGTTCAAGTGGGTCCAGTTCGCTATCAGTTTTTGAATCAAGAAGCGACGGTAAATTTGATAAAAGGACATAAACCATCCTAGTTGTTGAAACATTATCATGTATCATTCTTTCAGTTATTGCGCTGACAGATACTCTGTTACTGTATAGAGCTAAAAATAAGTCATTCCAATATTTTGGCTGGAAATCGTCTTCACTATCAGAAGACTCGTGATCCTTGCAACTTATGACTTGTCGTTTATTCGATTTAATGTTCATTCTAGTACTGCGATGAGATGAAGACTTTACTACATTGTCGGTGTCTTTATAACGGGTTCGCTGTCTAGTATTATAGCCTATAAAAGTTAATTGAAGTAGCATAGCCACACAATTTTTAGAAAATGATGAAAAGATAGGATACAAAATTAATAATACTATTATTATTGTATTCTATTACACTCGTACGTGTATTTTTCAAATTTTTTTTTCGTTGCTGTGGTGTTTTGTTTATTTGTTCATTTTCATTAGGCAAAGCAGGTTTAGTGCGATTTGGTTTATCACTCTCGGAGGATTCTGAAGAGTTTCTTGATTGTTGGCATACTCCTATAAATTTAGCTACTTTTGTTACATTCGTTCCTTTATCTATATCATTCGCATTCTAAATATATACACGAAGTAAAGAATCTTGTTATTAATACTACGAATAAAATCTCCGTAAGGTCTCTTATTAAGACACCTGCAATCGATTTCGATGAAAAACTTAATAATATTTTAATATAGTATTATGATATAAATAATTCAATTAAATTAGCGAAGATAAACCTACTTCCTTACTGATACAAGTGTCATCAGTGTCTATGGTGTTAGTTGCATCTACGTTGAAATTGCCATGAATTTTACTTGTTTGTTGAGCATGATCCTTGTTTGAACAAGCGTCTAAGTTTGCTCGGTTACCGTCCTGATATTCTTCATTGGATGATGAAGAAATGGGTGAGATAGTATCGTCAAGGATTACAGAACAGAATTCTGAAAAATCTTGTAAGACTCTTGCAGTGCGATCATCTTCACGATCAGAATTAAATGATAGCGGTGATAATGCAAGATTATCAATTGTATCAATCTCTTCTTGCACCTTCATTAAAATATCCGTATAATTTTCATTCTTATGATACGCTAATGGCACTGGTGGTGTTGCATCAGCTATTATATTGGTGTTAGAAAAAATTTTGCTAGGTGATTTATCGATAGCAGTCTTATCTACTCTTTTTCTTTTTAACCCATGATCTCCTACCAGTTTCGTATTCTGATCATTCGTTTGATCTTTTTTATTTTTATCGATGATATCGACTCCAGCAGCACTTGATGAGGTATCAGTGATTTGATTAGGCAGTGAATCAATTATTTGATTAGCACTTGGCAGCTTTGCAACTGGTTTACAACTCCGGGTTAGCTTTTGTCTACGAGAATGTTTAGTATCGGTCAATAGTTTACGGTGATTATGCCGAACAGTGCATGGCTCTGAATCTTGCTTAATGTCGTGTTGTTCACTTTCTTGGTTGGCAATATATTTAGGAGAGTCTTTTCGTATCGGAAATTCAATGGATTTGGTTTGATCAAATGATGCGAGATCATTATCCATGTCTATTTCGTTGTTGTCATATTCTATATGATGGTTTTGACCTTCAACGAGACCACTTTGTGATCCATCCTCTGTAGCGTCCGAAATTTCTCCTTCCTCTTTATTTGATTTGCAAGGACTGTTCAATGTCTGTTCACCGGAGTATTGCTGCGAAGGATCAGCCAAGGCTTTTTCAATTCTAGACTCTGCAGAAGAATCAGAATCTGATGATGTAAAGTCGCCAATTTCAGGTTCTGGTACATCCGATACTTTATCATTAACCAAATTAGGACTGCCTAATTTGTGGCATTTGGTAACAGAGACGCTATTCCTTTTATGCTGCCTCTTCCTACTGCTATTATTGTTATAGTTTGCAGATGATTTTTCTAGCCTGGAAAGTTCTTTCTCTAGTTCTTTAATTTTCTTAGCTTGCTGTTGCTTCTCTTCTTTCAAGACTACGTCATATGTAAATAAATTGAAATATAAATTTTGATGTAATTATTTTACTATGCTTACGAGTATTATAATATCGTAGAAATAAATTATATTGTAATTATACATTATCAAAAGAGAAATGGTGCTCGGCTAAATGTACAGTGTACTTGTCTATTCATCTATTGATTGAATACTACACTAATTTTAGCATTATGTCACAGTCACTTATGTACAGCCTATAGGCTTGAAATAATCCATTTTTAAAATGTCAGGCTATTCAACGAACCTTTATTAAATTTAGTTAAATATTCAATTTTACTGGCGTATTTTTCAATTTTTTCTTTATTTTTTTTATCTTCTACTTTCCATTTGTCAATATTATTTTTCAAGTTACTGCTTTCCGACTTTAGGTTGAATCTAGCGGATTCATTTTCTGTAATGACTAAGCGTAATTGTTCTGCATATTTTTGGCTAGCTGCAGTTGCATTTTGTTGCTGTTCAAGCAAAGATGTCAATTGTCGTTTGTCCTCTTGCAACTGTTGTATCGTTTCTTCTGCATGTGTTAACTTTGGTTGTAATGACTGACTGTTCTTCAATTCACTTATTAATCGCTGTTGTGTTGCAGCATCATCGATTAATTCTTTTCGAATAGCTTGAACTTGATTGCATTTCTCTTGATACAATGTCAATAACTTTCCACGATCGAATATTGCTTCCTTGATGGTTAAAATCTGCTTCCTTAACTGATCCGCATCGACATCAAAGTCTTGCATTTTGCTGATGAGGACAAGAGGCTGGTGATGGTCTCTTTCTCTTGCTATTCAGATGCCCTGATTACCGCACATTAAGTGAGAGTTTCCTATCAACGATCTGTTATGAAAAAGAGCTACAATTCATCAATGATTCCATTTCATAACCCTAAAGTCCATACGATGGAAGGAATAACAATAATTAAGTCTGATTAAAGGGTAGATGATATTAAATTATTCTTTTACAGGTGGGACAATTTTGGATGGCTTTAGTAAGTCAGTGGACACAGTCCACACTATACAGTAAGATCTTTGTACTGTAAGGTATACAGTAATGTGCAGTACTGTACTTCGTCGAGTACAGTACTGTACTGTACTGTACATTGTATTGTAGTTATGCTACAGTACAATGTACACTGTACCTTGCCGGTGCGGCAAGATGGACCGACAACACGACGCCGCCAGCTTCAGGCAATGGCGCAGGAGGGAAGGCTATATAAAAAAGGTATCCTGCAAATGCAAAGCTTGCAAAGCCTACGAAGTGCAATTTTGCCAATGAAAATGTAGAGATGGGAAGTAATGGGAAGCACTTGCATTACTGTAGCTGATTGTAATATTTCTTAGCCAGCAGTACTATGCGTAAGAGAGCTCACACTACCTCTGTCCTTTGTCACGCTGCCTACTGTACGCTTACCTCAGCATTGAGAAAGCCGGTCAAGATTTTTGGACTACTCCAATACTCTCTTTATAATAAATTTAGCAATATACGAGTAACACAAACTAGTACCCATCGCTGCATAAGGATAAATGCTTAACTTCGGAATGTTATATCCCTAAGGTATATCGTACGTATGCTGACCAAATGTTGTTATGTTATAGACTTCAGCTTTAATATTTTAGTTTCATGAATATAAAAGTTACCTGTAGTATACCCATTAATAATTTTTTTAATTTATTAGTAGTGCATTCAAGTTAGCTGAAACGGCTCAACATAATTTAACCCGTATCATCAGCTTTTAAGTCGTTTTCAGGAAAAAATGGTAGATGAAATTAAATAGCTTCGAATGTAATGTACTCTACGGGCTTTCAAGAAAACTTTCAATACGTTTACTTGTAATGTTTCCTACCTCTAAAATGAAAGTATCCAGCTGTAAATGCAATAAAAGTTTTGGGAAAGTACGTATTTCTATGCTTAATAAAGGGTTTTAGTATGGATTTTTGATGTAGCTCTTAATGCTAACGCTCTATTCCCTGTAGAATGCTAGTATTTATTGAGATCTGTACGGTGTATAAATGAGGAAAGCTAATAAAATAAGAAGATCACTTATATTACGCTTAATATAATTACTAGCATCGATAGTCTGGCCAACCGTATTCTTATTCAAGATTAATTAAGCATATAGTACTGCATGTGTTAGCTTGTTTATTCGTGTTTACTGTAATTTCAACACTTAAATAGGTGGGTGCATTACTCGATATGATCCATATCATCTACATCTTAAGACGCGATCGTAAATAATATCTACTCTATCGGTTGAACCGCTAAACGATTTAAATCACTTAGATAGACAAGTGTAATATTATGTAAAATATAAATTTATTAGTAATACAAAAGAGCTAGATGTGCGAGATACATAGTACAACATAAACAGGGTAAAAATATTGAGTAACAATAGATTTCTAATTCCATCATCAACACACCGTCAATAAATATATCTCCAAAATAAGTACTGTAAAAGCTAGATGTGCGAGATATATAGTGCAACATAAATAGGGTAAAAATATTGAGTAACAATAGATTTCTAATTCCATTATCAACACACCGTCAATAAATATATCTCCAAAATAAGTACTTTAAAAGGAATACATTTTACTATCGATTACCTTATAGAATATTCAGTAATACGTAATACAGTATATGTATTCGACTACAATAATACTGTATTTATGGATTCACTTTGGGTACTTAATAAACTATATAAATAGCCCAATGAATTGTTCAAATAGAATAGTAAAATTAACTTCTACTTCATTATTCGATTCGATTAATTTAAATTATCATTTGCAGCTTAATAATTAGTTGATTAATAATTAGTTGATGATAGTAATATAATTTAGTAGTTGCATAATATCTTAGATTAGTAATGTAGTACTGAGATAAAATCTCATACTTAATATTATCCTCGTGAAGAACATTACGTAAATACTTTATAATTACTCGAAATAATCGAAATTTGAGGTATAAATATGACAGATAACCATCTTGTTATCTTCGATATATTCGTATATCGTGATTATTATTATTACAATAAATTGTGTTGAGTTACCAAGTATTTATAGTATTAACTTCATTATCGAGAAATTCGATCGTCTTGTTAGATTGTAAAGTACCAAATATAACAGTTTTATTTGTTGGCGGTATTATACAATTGGCGACACTAAGATATTGCGTTACTCCAACCTGATTATCTGAATAACGGATATAAAGAGGATGACTGGTCATGTTAACATAGTTTCTGCAATTTTTGCTGACGTCTTCAGTATCTCCGCAGTTAATAGGAAGGCAAGTTTTCGCCATGAATCCAGTCGGTGTAGGATAACCGAAGTCATCGTAATGAATACGAAAATACTTTGTTTCTTGTATAATTGCACACTTATTTTGTTGTCTAATTTGGTGAAGATAGTCGTTGGCAATATTTCCGCCATCGATACAAACTTCTGGTTGTATAAATTTATTCTCCAAAGGAAACATCTCAGGAGTATCTCTCTTAATAATAATAGAGCGGCCGTGGCAGTGAAGAACTCCGTAAAGATTGATCGATAGCATAAACATCTAAATAATAAAAGAATTTGATATATTTGTAAGGTTAGATTAATTTTGGATTTAGACACCTGCTGGCTTGTAAGACTTATCTTTTCAAGCCTAGATATACATTGATAGCAATAGAAGTGTGCTCGCTCTTGCAACTCGTAATTTTTAATGAATCAAATTAACTATTAATTAAACTAAAAAGCGACAATTCTCTCGTAGTTATCTAGACACGTAGAGAATACTGTACCGTATCAATACCAGTAATTCGCTATATAATATCGATACTTATAGCAATACTGTATAGTTAAGATATAAAAATTACTCCCAGATTATCAATTCAAATTTAATTAAGAGATGAGACTAGAAATTAGATTTAACTTGATATTCGATATTTCGACTTTTCTCGATCTTAACAAACAGTTTTTAAAGAAAATCATAATAAATAGTCTAGTTTTCTCTGTCGGTGCAGTATTGTAAGGAGATCTACGATACCATATGTATTTTGATTTCCTTTCTATAAATGATGATTTAATTAATTTAACTAGCCTCGTGATACCCGTGAAAAACGCGCGCGGGCGAGTCTAGCTTTGCTCAGCACGCTTCACCGTGCAGATTATTATTAGTGTTTACTGACTGTACGCCTAAAATAAATTAATAGTACTTTATTCTAATACGTAACTACCGCAAATAAGACATAACTATATTAGTTTAATTTACTACTTAAAAATCCAATCATCTATTGTAATGTACCCAATATTACAATTATATAAAGTACCGATTTTATAGAAAAGAAATATTGTGATTGGATACCGTAGATTCGGACTATTGATACGTAGCTTACTAAAATTTTCTTTGTAACTGAAGAATCATGCTATGATGCATTACCGTACAGAATATATGATAATATATAATCAGTACTCGTATCACAAGGACTGCAAAAAGGACTATAATATACTCTTACGCTAATACGAGTAGTTATCTCTACAATAGCTTCTTATACTCATATACTTTCTCGATCAAATATTTTAATTCTAACCATATCATATTCTGACATCCGGTAAACTCTTCTATAGCCTTTCGAATACTACTGAAACTAATGTATTAATTTCTAGATTGATGATTATTACAGCATTTATTCTAGCGACAGGAAACGATATATTATTAATTTCTAGATTAATTATCATTGTAGTATTTGTTCTAGCGACAGTAATTATACGTTAGATATCGTCTAAATTTTTGCATAAGCGAATTGCTAAAGGAATTACAACTTAAATGATATCTTAATGTAGTTTACAGTGCTACGGCTACTCTCGAAATTTGAACATTTATATTGAAATTAATGTGATATCGTTTACGATACAGTATAAAATAATTTACTAAGTATTTGCTAACCATCATAGCCAAAAATGTACGCTGAGAAACGACGTTTAAAATTGAAAAGTTTTGCTTTGATCCACTCATATTTGAGATTCCAATAAATTTCTGTATTGTAAATAGAAAATTTCTTGACAGAGATCGGAAAAGTAATACGGTTTGCTTAGTGAGCAGATAACGTTAGTATCGTTTGGACAATTATTAAAATTTTGGATGTAAATTGACCGTATTTATAGCTTTCCAGGGACAATTAATAAAGTTCACCCATCTCGACGTCATGAGGGGAACGTGTCTCAGTATCGTTATTTTGTAATCATGTCATCATTTCAATTACTGAGATAATAAATATTAATACGGCAATTAAGTTGATTTGTTGCATATTGTACGGTAAATTTTAAAGATATTTTTATTATTATAATGTAAATCATTATTAACCTTATTAAATTTTCTCCGGGCATGACGTATCGCTTATAAGAAAATAGATACACACATAGAATCTCAGGTCCTGCTGATCAGCTAAAATTCGACTTTTATCTTTCATTTTATTACGGCACTTGTTTATTTATTTACTACGTTAAAGTTGCCCAACATATCAATTACCGTGCTATTGGTAATAGCGAACTGGTTAAGCAATACATTATGATTATTTCATGAATACATTTACCGTAGTTTGGTAGCCTTGTCAGTAATTTATGATACCATAGCCTATTAGCTATCTAGTATAGCTATCCAGTATTAAGATCGAGTTTAGCGTCCATAATATTCAATGTAAAGTCATATTCTTATACTTTACTTCATAGTATTAATATTTATTACTCCTGGTGGAAAATTAGTATTCAGATATCTATTGAAGAATGCGATATTTAATGGATAACTTAAAGAGGAGATTTAAGGAGATATACTCGTATCACATTAGATGAAATAGCAAATACTTCTGATTTGGTTACTTATTACTACGGAACAGTAGCTTAGGATAGTAAATGTCTAATAAAACAATGCATGTCTTTTCCTTCCTCCCCACTCTAACCAACCTTTAATTAATCGATCTTGTACATGTGGCTGTACGTTTGCCACTAGTAAGTCGAACCACATATTCGATCAGTATATTTTACATTTAGACAATTCCGACTCAGTCCTCATTATGCTACTTAAGAAGTCATTCGATTAATTTACTCTTAATGTGAACTAATGACTTCAAAGATTTACCGCACTATATTTAGAAATAAGCAGAGAAATTTAAAATTTGAAAGCTGATTTAAACATGATTGAATCAGCATAGGGGAAAGCCTATTCTGTTAACAATGCATTACATCAAATTACTATACGACATATCTCTACTTACTGTTAATTGCGTTGTTGCAGTACTACGTAATAGTTAAATCGTTCACTATATTAATGTCTACAGTTGTACGTGTACGAGTACGATTATGAAGTTTAATCTCGATACTAGACCCTCTGTTTGACTATCCGAACTCGTAAGATTACCTCTACTGACTGAAATTATCTATTTCAAGTTGAAAATTAGTTTTGGGTCTAGAATATGAAATATACTGTATTCGCTATAGCCTCAAGTACAATTTCAGAATCTCAGCTGACATGGACACTATAATTATCGCCGTTAATTGAGATTACCAGCCCTGACTACTTCATAATTAATAAGTAGTTTAGGATTAGAATCTAATACACGTGTATGCTACTTCATTATTATTGTTTTAATTGCTGTTCCAGATCCTATGTTGACTATAGATATAAACATAATAACTGTTTTTAGAACTAAGATTCCAACATATGTCATTTCTATATTTAATTTTAACATAATGAGTACGTACTAATAAAAGAAAATCGATTACTGATATGCTTACAAATAACATGCTATATGAACGATTCTTGACAAGAAATATAATATAAGGGTACGGAATAGATACTTAAAAGTTACATTGTTAAATAAAGGGTAAATTTAATAATA